TGAGTCGTAGGTCGGAACCTGACCTGGGACGACTCGGAATGACTGGATCGTCGAGTCGTAGGTCGAAACCTGAACTGGGACGACTCGGAATGACTGGATCGTCGAGTCGCAGGTCGGAACCTGAACTGGAACGAGCGCCGTATCCGGGGCACAGGTCTTTCGCGTACTTGGGAGTTATTGCTTTGCTGCCTTCCGCGGGCGGGAAGGCGAGCGCCATAAATCGTGGCGACGGGACGTGCGGTGCTGTGCGCCACGTGGCGCTCCGAGGGGGTGCGGTGTGGCTCCTGGGGATCAGGTTCCCTTGGGCGGGTTCTCCGAAGCCGGCGGGCGCGGGATTCTGAAGCGCCCTGCTGGCCTCGGGGGCCGCGACTTGCCTTTTCTTGCTTGGGAAGCTCGACCGTCGTCGGCGACTCCTTATACATAAGCTTTTCCCCGGAGAAGCTCCCCTGTCATCGCTTGCTTGCTTGCTGTTGTTCCGTCCGGCTGCTGCCGCTCCTTGTTTGTTCTTTCTCGACTCAGGCCCTTCTCGCTACCCTGAGGTTAGGATGTCTTCGTCTTCATCCTCCTCTCTTTCAACCTCTACCTCCTCTTCCGAGCGCCCTAGGGTTAGGCACTTGTCTCCGGGGAGCGTCCCCTTAGAAGTGGGAGGGAGTTCTGCCCTGCTTGCGAAGTTCAAGCAGTGGCATGACGTCGACTCGGTGGTGACGGGGGAGTTCCTGGGGGAGCTCCGGACTCGTTACTGGATCCCGGAGGGTTATACCCTATCCGCCCCCCGTCCGGGCCAACGTCCGTATGACCAATTTCCGGGGGGGTTTGGTCTGACGGCGGGCGCCCTCGAGGCGGGGTTACGCTTCCCGCTTCATCCCGTGATTGAGGACTGTCTCCGTAAGTGGGGCATATCACCGTCCCAGATGGCGCCAAATTCATGGCGCTATCTGGTTGTCTTCCTCGGAGAGTGTCGGGCGGCCGGGGTAGATCCGTCCAGGGATCTATTTCTGACTTGCTTTCGACTGTGTCGGGGTCGGGGCGGCTACTACCTGTCCGCGCGTAGTGGGTTCAGGATCAGCGGCGCCCCTTCCAGTAATAAAGGCTGGAAGAGTCGCTTCTTCTTCGTCAGTTGTAGTCGGGGGTGGGGCTTCAGCACCGGATGGACTTCCCGCACGGTCGACAACGTCCTCCCGTTGCTTTCGGGCAGAGAGTCGGCGGAGCTAGATCGTTTGAGGGGCATCCTGTCCTCTTCTCGGATGATCAAAGAGATGACCGAGGAGTGGCTGGCTGGCGTAGGGTTGAGCCCGGTTGCTGGGGGTATGATGTTTTTTATGCTGCGTGTAACCATTCGTCTCGGGGCACCTGACCGCACGTTTTTCTTTGCAGAGATGGTGGACCTTCAGTCTGTGAAAAAGGCGTCGCAGGGGCGATCCAGCGTGGCCGCGCCCCCGGGGGGCGGTGGTTCGGGAGTCGGCCCAAAAAGGGGGGCACCAGAGGGTGGCTCGGGCTCTCCGGGCGAAAAGCGTCCGGCCAAAAAGCTAAAGACCGCGGTCAGGAAGGTGTCCGCGAGGTCGGCTGCTCGCGAGCGTAATCCGGCGGGGAGCGTTCCGCCGGGCGAGGCTTCGGGGGCTACCAAAGGCAAGGAGGCGGCCGGGTCGGCCGGAGGGGATCCTGTCCCCGGGGCTTCTCAACGCCCGAAGTCGATGCGGGACTTATGCCGCGTTGGCGGGTCGGCCGGCGAGGAGTACCGGACTCCGGGCATGACCTGTCTTCCAATGGGAGCGGCGGGGGCTCCCTATGTTCCTCGGTGGTCCGCTCTTAAGGCGGACAGCCGTGTGTGGGCCGATGGAGCGGTGGCTCAGGAGTTCATCCGGGGCGCCCTGCACCCGCTGCTGGCTAAGGAGCTCTACGGCCTGACCTTGGAAGTTTTGGCGGATCGGGCGGCCAAGTCTTTGGTCTGGGTGAGTACTGACATCCCGCTTACGTTCAATGGCTATTTTTCCGTGGATCCTAATGTTACGTCTTGGTGTAGGGTCAACACTATGCCATGGCTTTGCTCGACCGGGCCCTTGACGCTGGGAGGGTGGTCGAGCGTCAGGCGAACGCCTTTGCCGCGCTACGTCTGGAGAACGAAGAGCTGAAACGGTCGTCCGGGCCGGAGGCGGTAGCGGCCGCTGAGCAACGCGCCTAGGCTTCGGAGGAGGAGGTGAAGCGGTTGAAGGCCGAGCTGGATGAGAGTCAGGCTCGGGCTCGGGCGATGGACGACGAACGTCAGACGCTCTCGAACGACATCGAGTCTGCTCGAACTGCGGCTTGGGCGGCTGAGGAAGCCCTGAAGGAAGAGCAACGAGCGCTGCCCGAGCGGCTGGAGAGGGCGGTCGTCGAGTATAAGGCCTCTGCAAGTTTTGAGCGCGGCCTGGTCCGGTCGGGGCGGGTGACGTATGAGTTCGGGTACCGGGTGGCCTGCGCTTGCGCCCGATCGAGTCATCCGGAATTGGAGCTGGAGGCGGACCCTTTTGCCGACCACCCTGCGGATGACGGCGTGGACATGCCGGCGAGCGTCCCTTTCGATGATGGGCCCGAGACGCCCCCTCCGAGTTGACTTGTATTTTTGCTTTGTGCTTTTCGCCTTTTGTTGGGTTGGTCTTTGGTATCTGTATCGCCTTTGTATGTACAGATCTCTTGCAATGCAAACCTTTGCTTTGACCTCTCTTTATGGATAGAACTTTTTTAAGTTTGCTGTGTTCCATGTCCTTGGTAAACGGTTTCCCTCCATAGTCTCGAGCCGGTATGTCCCTTCTCGGACCATGTCATACACCCTGTATGGCCCTTCCCAGTTGGGCGCGAGCTTGCCTCCCGTCCGGGTCGGGTCGGTTACTTCTGCCTTGCGGAGGACGAGGTCTCTGATCTTGATCGGGCGGGGACGGACCCTTCGGTTGTACATTCGTGCTACGGCCTTCTTGTAGGTTAGGGTGCGTAGGTGGGCCTCGGTCCTCTTCTCCTCAAGGAGGTCTAAGTGTGCTCTCAGGCCTTCCCCAGAACTCTCTTGTTCGTAGTCCGAGGTGCGAAAGGTTGGGAATACCATTTCGGGTGGAAGGACTGCCTCGGTCCCGAATGCAAGACTGAACGGGGATTCGCCTGACGCCGTCTTCGGGGTTGTCCGCATCGCCCATAAAACGCTCGGGAGTTCGTCTACCCAAGCTCCGAGTGCGCCCGAGACTCTCTTCCTGAGGCCTTCTAGAATTGCTCGATTCATTACCTCGGCCTGTCCGTTGGTCTGAGGGTGCGCTACTGAGCTACACTTTAGTTGTATTCCGTACGACGAGCAATAAGCCTTGAACTTGGCGTTGTTGAACTGGGCCCCATTGTCGGTGATGATGGCCCTCGGGATCCCGAACCGAGTGATGATGTTCTTCCACGTAAAGCCTTGAACTTGCTTCTCGGTGATGGAGGCCAGTGGTTCGGCCTCGACCCATTTTGTGAAATAATCCACCCCGACAATGAGGAAACGTCGTTGCCCCGAGGCCGGGGGGAAAGGACCAAGGAGATCGAGTCCCCACTGGGCGAATGGCCAAGCGACTTCCATCGAGTTGAGAGGGACCGCCGGTTGGTGTTGCAGTCGAGCGTGCCGTTGGCACGGTTGGCATTGCCGTACGTATGCCGCAGCGTCTTGGTGCATTGTTGGCCAGTAGTATCCCTGTCGGAGGGCCTTGAAGGCCAAGGTCCGACCCCCAATGTGCTCCCCACAAATTCCCTCGTGGAGCTCGGCGAGGACGGTGTGGGCCTCGGGGGGCGTGAGGCAGAGCAAGAGTGGCTGTGAGAAACCTCTGCGGTACAGCTTCCCGCCGATCAAGCTATACCAGGCCTGCGTTTGCCTCAGTCGTCTTGCCGCCGTCGGGTTGTCGGGCTCCGCCCCATTCATCTTGAAGCGGAGTATCTCCTCCATCCAGTTCGGCGGGGTTTGGGTCTCGACGACGCCGCAGGATGGTACGGTCGGCGCTGTTATGGGCTCGGTCGCGGAGGCTTTTTCCAAACCCCGTGCGGAGGCCACTTTTGCCAGAGCGTCGGCGAACGCGTTTTGGACCCGGGGTACTTGTGTGATTGAGAACCGGCTGAAGAGGCGGGCGAGCCGCTGCGTTTCCGCCAGGTATGATGCCATCGTGGGGTCCCGGGCCTCGTAGCTCCCGTTCACGTGTCCTGTTACCAGCTGAGAGTCGTTGAATACCTCGAGGTTGTCTACCTGCATCTCCAAGGCGAGGCGTAGGCCATGTAGCAGCGCCTCGTATTCGGCTTCGTTGTTGGTGGCTTGGAATTGCAGTCGGATGGACCTTTCGTAGGTTTCCCCCGTAGGGCTTTTAAGGACGAGGCCGACCCCGGCCGCGCCGGTGATGGCGGAGCCGTCGACATGCAGGGTCCACGCACGGTCGGTATCCTTCCGTACCTCTGTACAATCCTCAGGCGTTAGTTCAGAGATGAAGTCGGCCAGTACTTGGGCTTTTATGGCGTTTCGCGGAGAGTATTGGACGTCAAACTCGCTGAGCTCAACCGACCATCGTAGCATTCGACCCGACACGTCGAACTTGGATAGGATTTTCTGCAGCGGCTGGTCGGTGACAACTTTGATCGTGTGGGACTGGAAATATGGGCGTAGCTTTCACGCTGTCTTCACCAACGCTAAGGCTAGCCTTTCGATGGGGGGGTACCGCGCCTCGGCCCCGGCGAGGACGTGGCTGACGTAATATATGGGCTGCTGCTGCGGCGGTGTTTCTCGGACTAGCACCGAGCTAACCGCCCGTGCTGACGTCGCCAAGTAAAGGCTCAAGGTTTCTCCTGGTTCAGGGGAAGCGAGTCGGGGCAAGCAGGCAAGGTATTCCTTCAGGTTTTTAAAAGCTTCCTCGCGCTCGGGTGTCCAGGTGAAGTTGTTGACTTGTTGTAGGGCCTGGAAGAAAGGCAGGCACCTGTCGCCCGACCTGGATATGAATCTACTGAGTGCCGCCAGTTTCCCTGTGAGACACTGTACTTCTTTGACGGATCGGGGTGAGTGCATCCGGGTTATGGCTCGTACCTTCTCCGGGTTGGCGTCTATTCCCCTCTGGTGGATGACGAAGCCAAGGAATCTTCCCGAGCTAACCCCGAAGACGCACTTCGCGGGGTTCAAACGCATATGGAATCGTTTGAGGGTCTGAAAAGTTTCTGCCAAGTCGGCCAGGTGCGCCCCCGCGGTTTTGCTTTTTACGATCATGTCGTCCACATATATTTCCATATTCCTGCCGATCTGTCGTCTGAACAACCTGTTGACCATCCTCTGGTAGGTCGCCCCAGCGTTCTTTAAGCCGAACGACATCACCTTGTAGCAATATATTCCTCTGTCGGTGATGAAAGCTGTATTCTCCTGGTCCGCCGGTGCCATGCGGATTTGGTTATAGCCCGAGTATGCGTCCAAGAAGGTAAGGAGTTCGTAGCCGGAGGTGGCGTCGACTAGCTGATCTATTCTCGGGAGTGGGTAGTAGTCCTTGGGGCACGCCCGGTTGAGATTGGTGTAGTCAACGCACATCCGCCAGCTTCCGTTAGGTTTTTTAACGAGGACTACATTTGACAGCCACTGGGGGTACTTTACTTCGGAAATGAATCCGGCCTCTGTCAACCGGTCGATCTCTTCGCTGATCGCCTTCTGCCGGTCGAGGGCGAACCTGCGTGGTCTTTGCTTTACTGGCCTGGCTTCGGGATCGACGTTAAGCTGGTGTTCGGCTACCGTCCGATCGATCCCTGGCATTTCCTTGGGCGACCATGCGAATACATCGGCGTTTGCTTTTAGGAACTCGACGAGCTGGAGCTGGTTTCCTTCGGGCTGAGCTGTGCCGATTTTCACGGTCTGACCGGGCCGGTCTCCCTTTATCGGTACCTCGGTAAGCCGTTCGGGCGGTTCAAGGTGTGTTGACATGGGGGCCTCTTCTCGTGGGTCCGGGATATGGGGGCACGCCCTTTTCGGGAGTGAAACCGCGGTGAGGTAGCACCTTCTTAACTCGCCTGGGTCGCTTCGCGATTCTCCAACCCCCGCCGAGGTGGGAAACTTGACGGCTCGGTGGTAGGTTGAGACTACTGCTTTTAGTTTGTTGAGCGTCGGGCACCCGAGGATGACGTTGTAGGCCAAGGGCAGGTTGACCACCATGAACGTAGTCATTATTGTCTTGGTTCTTGGCTCCTCCCCAATGGAGACAGGGAGTGTGGTGGTGCCGAGCGGGGAGATTGAGTCGCCGGTGAATCCCGTGAGCGCCGAGCTCATGGGGATGAGGTCTTCAGTGAGCAGGCCGAGCCCTTTGAAGGCGTCGAGGTACATGATGTCGGCGGAGCTTCCAGTGTCGACCATCACCCGCTTCACCCGAGCGTTGGCGATCTGGATAGAAATTACCAGAGCGTCGTCATGATGGGACCTTTCCCCTTCCTCGGCCCCAAAAGAGATTTCGGGTTCCAGTTCGGGTCGGGGGCGCTTCTCGACCGAGCTCCGGGCGTAGGATTTCCTTGCGCTTGAGCTGCTGCCGCCTGCCGCTGGTCCACCGATGATGACATCGACCTGCCTTTCCACGGGCATCCGGGGACGCGGGGTTGCTTCTCGGGGTTCCTTGAGATAGCGGCCGAGGTACCCTCTTCTGATCAGCTCCTCGATCTGGTTCTGGAGGTCGTGACAGTCCTCGGTGTCATGGCCGTGGTCTCGGTGGAACCTGCAGTATTTCGACCGATTTTTGTAAGTAGCTCTCATGGGATTAGGGGGCCGCAGAAGACCTTTTTCCCTGATTTGGAGGAAGATCTCGGTACGAGGCGTGTTGAGTGGGAGGGGCGGAGGCCTCGGGAGGCGCTGCTCAGGGTGGTCGAGCCTCCGATGGGGTCGCGGGTCGGTCGACGAGGTGACGGTTCGGGGTTGCTCGGTTCGCGATTTCTTCCCGACCGGGCGTCTTCCAGCCGCTAATGCTTCGCCGACGACGTATTGGCTGGCCCGGTGAAGCATCTCCGGGACAGTGGCGGGCGGCTTCTCGATTAGTGACCAGAAGAACCTCGAGGGTTTCAGCCCCGTTAGGAACGCCTGCATGATCAAAGAGGGGTGAGTGTCCGAATAGCCGCGGATCTCCGCGGCAAAGCGTGTCACGAACTGCGCGAGCGTTTCTTCTTCGTGCTGCGATAGTGCTAGCAGAGCGGTTATGAAAGGGCAAGGCCGCGCGCTGGTAAGGAAGTTTTGTTCGAATTCTTTGGCGAACTGGTCAAAAGATGCGATCGAGGATTGTCGCAGCCGGCTGAACCATGCGCGTGCTGGTCCTCTGAAGGTGGTCGGAAACGTACGACACATTAGCGCGTCGGACGTGCCGTAAAGGGCCATCTGAGTTCTGAACGCGGCGACATGCTCTGCTGGGTCGGAGCCGCCGTCGTACGTTTCGAGGGCCGACACCCTGAAGTTGAGGGGGACGGGTTTTTCTTGTATTTCCTGAACGAAAGGGGATCCCCCCGAGGTGCCCTCGCTTGATTCATCCCGCGTTTTTTGGAGCTCGCGTCGGAACTCGTCCAGGCGGCGATTGACCTGGGAGAATTGTACCTTAAGGAAGCTGTCCGCCGAGTCGGACGATACGGTGTTAGGCTCGGGGCGACGCCGTGCGGCTCGGGAGGGTGCAGGAGAGGCGCGTGTGGGCGAACCCTCGCGGTGGATGGCCCTGTCCCGGGTCTCACCGGTTGCATCCAGTCCCGTGCTCGGCCTCAGATGAGCTGGGTCGGCGGAGGCATCCGTTAGTCGCCTGATTTCGGGGATGAGTGGGACAACGGTCTGCATTATCTCCATCATTCCCTGCACTTGCTTGACGAGGGCGAGGAACGCCTCGGGCAGTACGGCTGGAGGGTCGACCGTGGATAATGGGGGTGGCATCCCTAAGTCGTTGAACAGGCGCCAGTAACGATCTGGCGTTGATGTCGGCATTTCTCCTTCTCCGTGGGCGACGGGTTCGAGAGGGTCGGCGTGAGGATCGTTCGGCATTCGGGGCCCTCCTTCTAGCGCCAATCTGATGCTGTCTGCACCCGTTTAAGCCGTGATCTCGGGAGGTTACGGCTTGGTTCAGGGGTCCGGATGCCGAAGATTGCGGGTAGAGCCTCCTGGTGTCTTCGGGGTGAGCGCTCACAGTCTTGCCGATTCGCGCACGATCCTTCGAGGTAGTTAGCGGCAGTCCCCTGGCAGCGCGGTCGCGGTGTACCTGCACAAAGGTCGGACCGTCCTCTAAGGCCCGACCCCTCCGACGGTCTAGTCAATTGACGAGAAGGGGATTTTTGTCTGGAGGAGGTCTCCCTTCCTTGTGGGCCCTGGACTCTTTTATAGCTTCGGTCTGATGTTACCTGATGTTCCTGCTTGTCAGAGCGGGGTCGTGCCTCTGACTGGATTTGATGTTGCCATTAGGGTGGCGTGTCGGATCATCCGGTCGTAGGGTATGGGCGGCATCGATCGTCGCCCTCCGCGTTTGGGTGAATGCGCTGGGTGTGGGTGAGGGGGTCGCTGGCTGAGGGAGTGACGTTGGAGGCGTCGAGTCGACATTAATGCTCGTTCGCTCGGACAGGGCGTGGCCTGCGCCGAGGACGTCGTGGCGCGTCGCGTCGCCATTACTCCCTGACGGGAGTCTTTTCTGCTGTCCCATCCTGGGATGGCTGGCGTCATGGTCCATATCCCTGTTGACTCTTGTGGTGATTCCCCTATCACTAGCCACAATCAAATTGTCTTTGTATAATGAATACAAAGATAAGGGGATAAGAGTTAAATTATTCAAATAATCAATCCATCTCTTAGAATCGGAGCATATGTTTTCTCCTTGGCATCCTTTCGCCTTCAAAGTTTGATCCGTAAGCTTATCCCCCACAAATTGCGAAACAGATATGGATTGACGATGCATACACAAAAGAAAAAAAACGGGATATTGGGAAGACAATCTCGTTCAACTTCCATAGAATTCTAGCCAACACAACCCAAGGTCTATATTATCACAGCATTGTCTCTTCTATTTAAATGTCAGGCACGAGGATCCAACCTCTAACACCGAAGGAGATTTACGGCGTGTATTTAGATGAGGAGGTGGCAGAACTAAAAGATTGGATCAAATCCTTCAAGAGGCAATGAGACGAATATGGGGTGACATTGATGTGTGACAGTTGGATAGGACCAACAATAATGAGTATCATCAACTTTCTTGTTTATTGCAATAGAAGAGTGGTGTTTCATAAGTCCATTAATGTTTCTGAAAAGATCCAAGATGCAAACTACAATGAGAGCTTGATAAACACTATGGTAGAGGAGATTGGACTACAGTATGTTGTCCAAATAATAACCGACAACGGAGCGAATTTCAAAAAGGCTGGTTTGCAATTGATGGAAAAAAGAAAAACTTTGTTTTGGACTCCATGTGCAGCTCATTGCATAGATCTAATGCTGAAGATTATTGGTGAGTTGGATGCGGTCAAGAAATGTGTAGCTCGAGCACAATCAATTACAAAGTTTATATATAATCATTATTGGGTCCACGCTTTAATGCAAAAGTATGTAAATGGTGAGATACTTCGACCTGGAATTACTCGATTTGCTACCAATTTTATTGCATTAAAGTCATTACAGCAAAAAAAAGCATGGCTTGAAAGTAATGGCTACCTCACAAGAGTGGTCTGAATCCATATATTCGAAATTGAGCGATGGAAAGAAGATAGAAAAGGTCATTCTTTCCTCTAGATTTTGGTAGATTATATCAGAAATTATAAAAGGTGGTTTCCAAGTGTCCATATATGCCGTATCTTAAATATATGCTGATTTTCAGCAAAAGAGGAGGCCAGGAAAGCATTCAAAGATGATTTTAAGGTCGACCAATATGTACGAATCATTGATCGTCAGACCGAAATTCATATGGATCAAGATATCCATAATGCAAGTAAATTCATATTTAGAACAATTTAATTTATTATTATTTATATAATAAAAAATCATACTAACAAAATTATGTTTTGCAGCGTATTATCTAAACCCGGCAATTCAATATTGATATGCTCTCGGAATGCAAAATAATTTCCTAACAACACTACGAAATGTTATATAACGACTCTTACCAAACACTACCGAGGCAACCGATGCTCTTATGGAGGGTCGATTATTTCGAGAAATAGTTGGTTCATTCTCCGACGTTATAGCTGTATCGTGTCGTTACACTATGGATCCTGGTGAGAAAAAGTTATGCATATTGATTATCAATTATATTTAATATTAATTATTTATTATGCTAATAAAATCTTATTTATATCTTTTTGCAATCGAGTGGTGGCTACAATTTGGAGGGGATGCACCACATTTAAGGAAGGTTGTCGTTCGTGTTCTTTCATAAACAACAACAACATCTAGTGGTTGCAAACGTAATTGGTCAACGTTTGAATTGATTCATACGAAGGTCCGCAACAGACTCTCCTACAGACGGTTAGAGAAACTAGTATATGTCCATTATAACATGCGGCTAAAATTACGATGTGCTGAGTTGGATAAGGAGCTAGAGGGACCAAATATTGATCCTATTGACCTCCAATTCTACAACGAAGATTCAGAGCCAATGTTAGATTGGGTTGAAGCAGCAGAGAACCAAGAGGGTCCTCTACTTGATGAGGTGGGAGATCCTTAGCGTCCTTCATGTTTTATCACTGAGGCAATAGAAGAAGAAGAAGCACAACCCCAATAGGTGGAAAATCCCCCTCGATTACAACGTGGTAGGAGTCAAACTGCTCGAGGAACTACCGACACCCAATGGTCACACTCGTCTGCCCAACGTGCAAAGGCAAAGGGGAAGGCAATAACATCAGTTGCATCGTTGGAAAGAATCGAGTCAGGTGACGAGACACCTTCACAATCACATTCTTTTTCTTGCTCGGTCCAGAGACATAATAGTAACACGGACAGCAGTACCTCGACAGATGATGCCGGTGATGCCGGGCAGTCGTTGGTCTCGTCTACACAACTTGAGGGTGGTGAATGGACTGAGGAGCAATATTTTACACATGCCACTCAAGATTTAGTTCATGGAACTCGACAATGTACTGGTCAAGTTTATGCGCGGAAGGGAAAGGGGAAGGCAGTGGATGAATATGAACAAATGCGACAGAGCATACATGATATAGACACAGAAAGAGGCTCATTGTATTCACATCCATCGTATTATGGAGAATCATACGGGCAACAACAGTATGGTGATAGTTAGTAATCCTTCTTTGAGCAACAGTCTGATGCAGAACAGCAGATCAGTAACGAAAGTAGAAGCTATGACATTCACCAATATATGCCTCAAGAGCTGCCTCGAATAAATATGATTCATGACGACCAGTCTACGATCAGCACCACATTGATGCATCAATGGCATACGGTATATCAATACACTATGTCATGGGATCAATTTCATGATTGGGTCCAACAAATGTATCATATTGATATGCAGATATATCGGATCAAAGACCCCGATCCACCACTCGTGGAGGCCCGTCGTTCATTTTAGTGGTAGAATGAACAATCAGGTATATCTACATATGTGATTATTTAATTCATTTAAATTTTAGAATTTATATTATAACAAAATAGTCTAATAATTCAATTGATTTTTCTGTAGATATTTCAATCTATAATGGGCTGAAATACAAACCTCGAACAAGACTACCTCAAAGCCCGAAAAAGATATGTGATATTATTCTTACCTAATTTACATTGATTTTGCTAAACTTATACTATTACTATATTTATTTGTAACTTGAAAACCCTATCCTAACTTTTTTTTTAATTTTTAGGTATTTTCGGAGAGTTAAATCTGTGAAATCAGGTGTACCGCTCAGTGCACCGTACCGTATCGTATCGAGCCTAGGTTGAAATATCGGTATGGTACGGTAAGGCAAACCTTGCTTCAAACATTCTAGGGCTTTCAGAATAGTAATTCCTTTCGCTTGGACAGCACTGCTTGCAGCACAAGCAACACATCCCACTAATCTGACCTCCAGATTGCTTGATCACATGGCTAATACGTACATTACACAAATCTGTATTACATGATCCATCACATTTGATATTGAAACTGTTATCATCGGTAGTATTAGTGTTCGGAAACCATAAGGAAGCTGTGCAGTAGAAAGATAAAATAAAACTATTTTCTGAACAAGGTGTATCGAATCATCGGATGATGACCGAGAGCATAAAACTTAAAGTTACAAAATCACATAAAAAAGATGAGACGTTCTCACCTAGGAGAGCTCGTATATCCCCTAAGATGCATATCTTGATCCGATGAATGAAGGAGCTCTAGTAGTAATCAATATGATGGACGACAACAACGACACACCTCCTCCTTGTTGAGGGTTCTCTCCTTGTGACAATGCACCACCACATAGCAATAGTAAACAAGAAGGGGTCGTCGACCTTCTTGTTGTCCTCTCACACCAAGAAGGGAGCTCACGGCAAGGGAGAGATGAGGAGGCCAGCAGCTTTAAAGGTCCAGCTTATGATCATTTAAGCCTCACTCCTGTTTATAAAAAGTCTTTTAATAAAAACCCTAATAGATCATTCTTAATGAGTATCGGATGTTCATTTAATAATCATTGGCTTAATGGGTATTTGATCATTATCTAATAACCCCTCTAAACTCCATACCCTATTGGATCTTACCAAATGGATCTATTAAAAAATGGGCTTATTGGATATCCCACATCTAATCCTTTAATCATCGCATCGTCCACCTTATGTGTGTAACTCTCTAGGCTCAATATCGAGTTGGCTATGAGTTGCACCTATCAAAATCCCTTCTGACTCAGTAAATTATTATCCCCATAATAATTCTCTTAACTTATCAACTATAGATGTACTATGCCATTATGCTATAGTCACTAGATGGTACATGGGGATCTAATCCATTAGATCTATTTATCCTCAATTACTATGTATCTATAGTTCTTTATCTATCTAATATCCCAAAGACCATATACCGAGAA